TAGGTGGTAAGTGGAAAAAATGAAATTCAATTATTCACTTACCCCACAATCTAATGAAAATAAAATTGTATAAGTAAAAATAATTATGTGTTTTTTTCATTTGAAAATTGATCAATAATTAGCTAGAACTTCCGCTTCAATATCTCTTTTAAGAGTGTATATATTTGATAAAGCGAAACACTTGAAACCAGTTAATTTGTAAAAAAAAATGGCCTGATATCATTAGGACAACTTCTTGGAAACGCAGATATCGATAAAATATTATCAATGAAACACCATCACTAAAAAAATCCACCCAACTCCTTCTCACTTATAGGTGCACTAACTGATACACTGTATATCCTATTGGCTATAACACATTTGCAGTTAACAAGTGCAGTATATGCCAGTACCAATCAACATAAATAAGCCATATTACAACATTAATCACAACACTTCAAGGTGTGTACTTATTATGTTTATATATTGATTATAATTTAATATGAGCATTGGATATACCAGCTATCAAATGATAAAATTGGCTTTTTGGAGAGAAAACACGTACCACATTGCAATTTTTATGGAACATTAAAATTATATAAAGGTGAACATTGGCAAGTGTGCAAATTTAAATAAATTGTTATTATTTGACAAATGTATTAACCTATTTATTTGTACCAAGAATACTCGAATATATTACAACGAAATGTACATTTTTCAATGATATTTTATAAATATACATTAGAGGGGAATTGAAAAATAATATCTATTCGCAGCTTTCGTCTATAATGCGCCGTCTTATACTGACATCAAAAAAAATTTGAGTAAGAAGATTTTTAATAGAGAAGTTGACAAATAAAAATGTGGACAAGTGGGTACCACTCTGCTGCACAGCAGATGTCGAGCATATCATTGTAATGGATGTGTTAATAATATATACATAATAAAAAGCGGGTAAGTGGATGTCGATCTGCTGTATATTAGGTGTCTAGAAGGTCGCTGTATGGATGATATTAAATTTGAATTCAATGATATAATATAATTGTATACTAAAAATGATTCTGAGCAGAGACGGTATATGTCAGTCTAGGATATTTTATTCTGTTATTATTTACTATTAATACGGACATACGGTAGCCAGTAAGTTGAATCAATATTATTCATTATATCATTCTTAAATTAACATTGATGGCGTGATGCTGGAAAAATATTAACTATACTTAGGTATGTAAAATTGGGATGTTTTGGAAGGGAATTACAACAAAATGACAAAAATCGTTATTCTTTGTGTTAATATGTAATTTTGTCCAAATTTAAACTTAAAATGTCTTCAATAAATATAACTGTATAAATATATTTTTTAGATTTTTTAGTTACGAAAAAAACTACATAAGTGGAACATTGTTTTAAATTTTCAATCCTTAGCTATAAAAATTGAAAATGTTATAAATATTTAACTACAAAATAATTTTTCAATGTTCAATTTGAAAAATGTTGTCAAATTTTAAAAAATTTTAAATGCTTAAAAAAAAAAAGTAGACTAGTATTTTTAATATTTTTATTGACATTATAAATTGTATAGAAAAAATGAAAGTTGAAAATGTCCATCAACAGCTTACAACAAGTCAAAATATTTTGTAAAATTTTTTCATATCTAAATCAAAAATCGAGTGAATATCCAATGTTGTAAAAATTTCAACTTCAAACGCTCATTAAAAAATTATTGTGGGTTTAAGCTCGAATTTTTTTTTAATTTCCACTAACAACAACTTACGAGGAAACTTATATTACATTTTCAAATTTTCAAGAGCAAAAATATTCTTTTCGACAGCAGTAATTTAAAAAAACAAATAATAATCGAAAATGTCATATGTATGAAAATTGTATGGTGTATAGAAAATGCTAACATAAACATTCAGTGAACATTTCATATATCGTTGGTCATTTTTTATAATTACTTACACTAAAAACCAAAATTGATTTCTTCAAAAACTGGTTTAGCGTAAAATTCCCGTTTTGTGTTTATTTTTCCCGTCGCTTTAAAAACCTTTCAAATTTTGACCTCAAGAGTGCACACTAACTAGATTTACTTTCCTAGCAGAGAAGTTACTATTGGATAAAATGGAAGCACTTTTACTGCCCCAAATCGTGATAAAAACACAAAAATATAAAAACACATATCATTGTAACATCAATACATTCATTGCTTCGCTCAGAATCTAAAATTAATACAAGCCGAAAATATCTCATGGCTATAAATAGCATAACTTTCCGGTGAACTTTTATTTTTGATAAATTTAAAAAAACTTGTTGTGAATCTTGTATTAAAATTTCTAATGTTAACTATGGAAAAAAACTTTTATACAATTCTAACTGAAAAAAAATACAAAGTTAGAAAAATTTCTTATGACTATAAATAGCTCAAAAAGACTCAAAATAATTTGAAAATATTGAAATGTATGAAAAATTATAGTATAAATATTTGGAGAACATATTTTCTTTGGTTATTCATTTTTAAATTATACAACAAAATATCAAAAATTGATTAATGGAAATTCGTTGATTTACCACTAAGCATCAAATACCTTAAAGATTTTAAACTCGAAAACCCATAAAAAATTTAGGTTACTTCCCAGAAAACTTAGAAAAGATATGCTGATGTCGAAAATCGGAACATTTTTACTATCCCAAATATTGTTAACAGAAAAAAAAAACACACATTGTAAATACAATACATTCATTACTACGCTCAGAACCTAAAACTGTAAACACTAATTTTTATAAACTAGACTCAAATAATAAATACTTCGGGCCACAGGGGCTAAACATTTATAAAGAACCAATTATTCAACATCAAAAACGTTCAAAAATCAAATCTAAACAAATTGTTAAAAAAACGACCTTTTTCGATACACTCACCATTTTAAATTTTATTATCTGACATTGGCATGCGCTAGAATGTCTTATGCAGTGTCTCTAATGAAAAAATTAGTTCCCCCAAAATAAACAAAAATTGTTTTGATTAGAACTAAAATATTGTCATTTTTAATTTTTCTATACACCTAATAATTGTATTTTATTTATATAATTACTTTGATAAAAGTATAGAAAACCACATATATCCACTCGGGGCTGTGCGGGTTCAATTTTAGCACCCCTTCAAGGCTTCAACCTGGACTCAAGTCGTTCCATTGTGCCCAGCACTCGTGTACGTAAACGGTTAAGCCATTAATAATAAGTAATATAACATCATGAAATATATTCATTTAAATCCGTTTATATTATATTTACTTTTTCTAAACAAGTGTTAATAATTAAAATAAAAGGCTAACCGCGTAAAGCAGTACGTATGCTAAACGTAAGCGAACTCGTGCATATAATTGACAAAATTGTTTCGCACATTAGCATCAGCGAAGACGTCCAAATTGTGAGTGTATAATATATGATACCTATATAATATGATTATTTACCATTGTAGTGTGTATAGGCATTACAACACTTTATCGTTACAATTTACAACACGACTACAATATATTATTTTAGGTGATACGGGCTATGCTAAAGTTGGAGGGAACTAAACTTTCCGACGATGTCTTTTAACAACGGTTTCCCTGGTGGCCCGTGGACTTTTAATTATGCATCGCAGCGTGTTAATGTCTCGTGACTCATGGGTAAGAGGTGTATGGATAGCGATTTGTTTATTTTTAATCTCGACCATAGGTATAGGCATAAATAATACGGAAAAGTATATAATATATTAGGTTTATAATATTATGTTCTAACCCGTCCGATAATATCCAAGTCCATAGGTTTGGGTAGGTACCTAAATACACGTAATCAAGTGTCTAGGACTTATATCGTGTCAAGGGTGGCCCTGGGGCAGGTAGGTCAACTGGGACATTTGTCCTATAACGTATCCGCCTTTATAAGAGCACCTTATCGTGAGAAACTCAAGGGTAAAAATATAGGCACAGCAAGACCAATGTATGTATATTTATGCTATACAACAATATTTATAAAGAGATAACTACATCTAAAATTATCGTAATGATGTATATTGTATAATAATAATAAATTAACTATAATAATAAGTTTTAACTAAAAATAAAATAAATCCTATTTTTATATTTTTTTAAATTAATATTTTGTAAGAAGTAGGTACAAGACTATTTTTTAATTAATTATCATAAAAAAATAGTTATTTTGAATATTTTATTAGGTAGGTATATATTATTATAATGAAAATAAAGTGTATAGAAATGGCCGAAGAAATACCCAAAACATCGAAGACAGCACAAATGTATACGACGTACATAAGGATAAAACCTCAGTAAAATCTGGGGGCCTAGGGCCAACCCCAGGCTTACTGTGTTTCCCCCTGTTCGAACTTTAATTGGACTTATTCGGAAGTGAGGTAGGTGTGACTGTGTGGGTCACGAACACAGCGGACAATCCGTACATATTGTATAAGCAGAGCCTTACTTGGGGAGGCTAGTGGGCTGCAGCCCCAGGCTTCGACATAATTAGGGCCCCCGCCCCCCCGTACATTACAGCAATACATGAAATAATTACCTATAGACTTATGGTACCTATACCTAATTTACTTATAAACCTGAAAAATAAATTTAATATTAAAAACGATATACCAAAAAAAATACATTTATAATTTAAGTTTAGGGGCCCCACCAAAAAATTAGCCCGAACCCGGAAATGCCTAAGAAGGGCTCTGCGTATAATTCCATAAATCGTATAAATATATCGTTAATCCATAAATAAAAACAGCAGTGCGCGTTCAACAGCTGCGTGTGGTGTACTACGGACAGCTGATGTGCGTCTGTCTGTTAATATTTCTCCCAACGAGCTACGCTGTCGAAATTAAATGATACCATAATGTAGGCAGGAACCTTCAACCTACAACTGCAGAGAGGCTGTACATTGTACATAGGTACAAGTTGCACATATTATTTTCAAAGTACATTTTCACTTCGTCTCTCCCCCCGACTTAATTGCGTGGCACTTACGTCGAACGTCCGGCAAATTTTCGTGATCCCACCGGTGGTGACGTCCCGGCGATGGTGTGCAAGTCCGAAAATTATGCGAGCGCGGACGACTAGATACGCCGCATTGGCAGCCATAGCGACCGCGGGACGTACGGCCCAACCGAACCAGAATTACGAACTGCGTATTCCCGCCGCCTGTGCGAGACGCGTAGTCCGTCCCGCCACCCACCCGCGCATTAGTATCCGTCCGCGTGCGCGTGAATGCGTGATAGTCTGGTCAGCTGCCACCGCGAGTAAGTTGTCGACCGTGGTTGTCGTCGTCGGCGTCGTGATAAAAACAAGGCCCACAGTGCTGCCGTGACCCGGTACACGTCCGCGCCGCCTGCCGTACATGCACTGTTTTCGCAAACAGCTGATACGGAGCTCGACTTTTTCGCGATATAATTTTGATAGCTGCCGCTCGCTCACGTCCTGCCGTCTTGACTTGTGATATTATAATTTTATATTTTCAGTCGTCCTCCGCCGTATTTTCACGTCCTCGTTCCATTTTCGCACGTTCCTGATCCTCAAGAAAATACCGTAAGTATTACATTATGTTTATACCAAATACCGTAGAAAGCAGCACAAGGTAGTGCGTACGTTGTTTTACACCACATCGAGTGTCCTACGCGATAACGGGTGATGAGACTAACGACCTAGACAATCTCGTCAGGACGTAGCGGGCGTTGGATGCCTTCTTCGTTTTGCATGTTAAAAATTCTCTTTTTATTAAAATGTACGGAGTCCGATTGTCAAATTAATTGCCTTAATGTTTTTATCCAGCATATAGAGTAATGCACATTACAATAAGATTAGATTCGACTAAATATTTTAGCAATTTGTTTTTAATTATATTTATACTTAATTTCCCAGTTAATTGATATCACCTATTGTAATTTTCATTACTTTTAGTTACATGCATAATACATTTTGTATTTAAAAAAAGTGATACACTAATTCACTAATTTAAGGTTACTTCTTTATTTTAACCTCGCTAATATTATAAATTCTTTGTTAATTGCCTTAATTTGTATTAATACATAATATTTCCTAATTGCAGAATATGGGTGGAGAGTTAGGAGAGCTGAAAAGTGACATCCGTGGAGTTATTACTACCAAATTGTCTCCATTTGAGCAGAAAGCATTCAAAGGACTCTTTTCTCATGGAGTTCCCAATGCCATTAAAAGGACTGCCTCTAATATACCTTACATTGTTCCACCAATGATTGTTGGTTATATCGTCTACGATTGGGCTGTACATGCCCACCACGAAAGCTTGAGGAAGAACCCTGCTGACTTTGCCAATGATCAATAATTTTTTTTTAAATTAATGCTTTTTGAAAATTCACCTTCTTAAATTACTGTAGAAAAAAATGTGTTTGTCAAACATAATTATTTGTAAAGCAACAGGCAACAGTAAAAAGTAATAAAATGTTTTAATTTGTTATATAGCTAAAATAAGTTAATCATTTAATAAATTTAAAAAAAATGGTTGAACATACATAACAAATATTTTTTATTTATTTATATTTTATTTGGAAGTTAAAATTGCAATTATTTTGTAATTTATAAACAACAATTAGATGAATTTCAAATGCCCAGTATAAATATATATTAAGTATAGTAGACATATGTGTGTGTTAATAAGTGGTATACGATTTTGTTATCTCCATAATAATTACAGTTAAGAGACTTATGATTTAAAAAAATAAGCATTATCTGTGTTCTGTCACCAATTTTTTAGATTTTTTTAGTATCCATAATGCAAGTTTTAAGTAAAGAATATTTTTACAATTTAAAATGTTTATAATCCATGTAATTAAAAATAGAAATGTGAATTATTTAAATTTTACTTTAAAATAAGAGTGGTTAGGTTTATCAAAATTCAAATATATTTTTTAATACTTGAAATTTATAAATATTTGTGCTACACTACTATCTCTTAAAAATTGAAATCAACTTCATTTTTAAGCCTAGATCTTTCATTGCAATGAAATATGATATTATAAAAACTAGTTTTCCCCTAAATATAAATATTAATATATTATAAATAAATGGTAAATACTAAATTATATTATTAATTTACAAGGTGGAATCTCAGCTAATGTATTAACTCATTATGTCAAGTTAATATAAAATATATTATTATATATAGGGGTTAGCTGCCCCCTGTTTTGTTGTTTTAATCAGTATTTTCTTTTTGGTTGTTTATTTAATAAATGACACAGGGGTAGAGGGGAAAGACAACCAGCTAGATTAAGTGCCCCCTCCATTGCGCTGTGGTTAAGACACAACAAAATAAGTTAAGTTGAAACGTTGAAAGTTAATTAGAAAAAATAGTAACTGAACCAATTCAATATTTTCCTTAATATTTATTATAGAATCCATGCCAAGACAATTAGCAAAGTAGAATAAATATATAACATTCACAAATACAAGAATATATAGTAAAAATAATACTTAGAACTTAAAGACAGGATTTATATGCACTTATAATTGTTAAATATGCATTATGCATGCTAATATGTGCTAAAAAAAGTTAAAATATGAAGAATAAAATGCATTTTTTTCATTGTATTTCATAATTTTGATTTGATGCTATACACACATTTAATATCAACTCTGGTTATTGGTGCATATTTAAAATTCACTTATACATCCTGTGAATAACTTCGAACAAACAAATTGTTGAAATTAATGCTTTTACCTTGAAGCGCCTATTTTAGAAATTAATTTTTAAACCATAATCCTTGTTTTTTACTTAAAACATTTGTACATTTAGTGTTAAATATTGTTCTATTTGAATGAAATGGTTTTAAATTTTCTGCAGCTTTCATCAGATAACATTTAAAATGTGAAATATTTCATATAATATATAAACAATAATTTTTTTTGTTCCCTTTTTGTGTTAGTTGTTTTTTTGTACTTTTTTACTTGCTTCTATTTATAGTGACCAAGTATTCAAAAATGTATAGGACATGCATTGAAGTCGGAATATACCAAATGCTATCTAAACTTTTGTTATTTAGTCAACCAAGTACCTAATGATTAATGGACACTTGTTGACTGTATGTGTGTAATGTTATAATAGCAACATGCATTGTATGCAAAACCCTGTCTTTACATATAAGACTAACTAACAGAAAAGTTATAGGGTAGGCAGTGGCGTAGCCAGGATTTTTTTTCGGGGGGGGGGGGCTGATCAATTTTTTACACAGCGGTGGTTTAGTTTTTGATACCATAGACCATTAAAATAATTTTTAAATTTTATTAACATTTCGGTGGGGCTGCAGCCCCCTCAGCCTACCCCCTGGCTACGCCACTGAGGGTAGGGTATATGATATTTTTAATCTATGCTATTCATTATAATAAAAAAAACTTAAGTGCCTACTTAATATGACTATAAAACTAACTAGCTAAATATTATGGCACAAATTTTAACTTGGGAAATAATAACTCGTTATGCAACTTTGTTAAAAGTAACTTAACTTTAAACTTTGAAACTCGTTAAAGCATAAACTTTATTATTTTTTATGTATAAATGACCAAAGTTTCATCCACGTTCTCATATTTGCATGTTCTGTTTATCACTCTTATTTAATTTCAAGAAAATCTTGTAAGTGACTTACATAGCAATATGCCAATATATATTTATATACATATTTTTCTTATACAAAAATGTGTCTTAATTAATATATTTTAATTTTTTGCCTCATTGAAGATAACATATTTTGTCTGGGCTTAACCCATCCCGAGTAATAAATTAGTTTCGTCTGTGATCTAAGTAGGTAGGTATATAGTTTTAACTTCAACCAAAGGTGGCTGGTATTTATGTTTCATAAATCTAATTTACTATATACACTAAGAAAATAGAAATAGGTTACCTTAGTTAGTTAGTTGTAACTTATGTTTTAACTAAAATTAATCTTAATTTCACAAGACACAAACGCAAACCCACTGTTCAGCCATTTAAGGGGTTTAAAATAGGCAATTGTAATGTCATTTTAAGAATAATTATCATAATATTTAATCTTAAATTAATTCAAATACTTAATTATTTTTAAAATGGTCCCTTTGTAGTACAAACAACTATCGTTGCGTTTTAATGAATTTATATTATAAAAAACTGGTTTCACATGGAACAAACTTACGAGTACCTACATTATTTCAGCAGATTTATCAAATGTTCACAACAGGCACCTATAGTGAAGAGAGAACATTATTTGTGTCGTAGAGTACCTATTTATTCTTTTAATATCAATAGTCAATAATTTTGAATGTTGTATCTTAAATGTTTATTTTACTTCCCTCCTACATGGAAGAATTCAGTTAGTATAATGAGCTCTAAACCTAATAAGCTTAAACACCTCACCAGTTCTCATCATCCTATCAGTTTACTACCCACATTTGTAAAGCTCTCCGAAAAACTTATTTTACGTAGAACTACACCATTAATTTACCAACATAGTATAATATTACCTACCGAAATCACAATTCTGTTTCCGTCGCAAACACAACACAATCCACCTAATCACAGATACAATATCACGAATTCTCACCCTCCTTCGAGACCAAGGAATATTGGCTATTGCCCCGGGGTATTTCTAGATAGGTATATCACAAGCGTTTGGCATGATGGACTTCTATTTAAACTAAAACCTTCTAATTTCTTAATTTGTATATAGATAAAGATAGACTTTATCGATTATTTACCACGATTGTGTGATGTGTCAGGTTGTATACAAAATACAAATATATATTATATTATAAGATTATATAACAATATTATTAAAACAAATCACAAATAAAAATGTTGGTAATATTTTCATTTAATTTAAATTGTTTAACATCTAGGGGGGGGGGCAAAACAGAATAATATATGGACTCCTCCCTAGACCATAGTGAAGCTTCACCCCAGGTGTTTGAGCATGGCACTTTATTCCTGAGAATTGCGAGTTGCTACATCCAACTTTCTTGCTCGGTTGCTAAAGTTCTAAATACTTAACTTTATCAACATTTAAATAATAACTGTATCTAGCATCTAAAGAACTATTATTAGGTAGGTACCAACTTTTCATAACTCTCGTTACAAATTGTTTAGATTTCCTTTTTTTTTAAATTATGGTTTGCCAACGAGATAGTTAACAGAACCTATAACACAACTCACGAACCTTGAAAGTCGGGAATATAAATAAATAAGTAGGTAGGTAGGTACTAAAGTATCACTAAGTTCGAACATTTTTTCTAGACAATATATTATTTTATGTATAAATCGATCGATAATTATTCTGTATAGGTATTTAGGAAGGTATTTAATACGTAGGTATTCGCATACTGATTTCTACAAAAAGTACTACTTCGCGTCCAAGGTAAATTGCATATATATAATACATTTTCTTATCTAACTCAGTTATTTTTTTATGGAAGCTTAATTGATTTTTTTGGTCTATACCTACCTGAATTTACATACCAATTAATGTCATACTTATGTCATAAGTTCATAGCACACTTTTTTATTTTTTGTAACGTGTTCATATTCTTGAACACTTAGGTAGGTACCTGTTACATGTACAATATTATAGTACAGGCAATTTATTGATTCCCTACATTTTAAGAGTCAGTACCTACCTGTATTATACTGCTATCATATTATCAACAAATATTTTATTAAAAATAGGTACCTACCTACAACTTTTTCAGGGAAAAAATCTGTTATCTTGGTAAGTTAAAAAATAAAAATTGTATATTCTGTAAATTGTAATATTGCAGGTAGGTATTTGTTATAAATTATAATTTATAATATAATATTATGGGTACCATGTATTTAATTATGTAATCTGTAATCAAGATATTTTCATTTTTTTTCATGCAAAATAATGTAAACTATATTGGCCTAGTACACTGTATGCTATAAGCGGTTTCTGTTGCTACGGGTGAAAAAAATCAATAACAATGGGCCACATATTAGCATATTGTTTTTAAACAATAATATTTATGCATTGAACTTATACTATCCATTACTGTATAATTAATATTTTATTACCTATCTAATTAAGTCTCATACATATTACATAGGTAACCATAATTTTATTTTATTTGGACATTTTTTTTTTATCATATCCAATGAATAAAGATCAGAATGATCCCGTTTTACATTCTAATGATGGCCTATATCCTGAGTATGTGTATATTATTTCACCCTAATGTAACTAATGTGTAAATTGTTTTTATTTATTCACTGATTAGAGAAATTATTGGGCAGTACATCATGGAATTGCCTGTATTTGGTAACAAAAAAGTAAACAGTACTCAGAATCAAAATCGAAAGAAAAAGAAAGTTTTAAAACCAATACGTGTTCATACATTGTCGGCCACCAGAAGAAGACAATGTAAGTTTATTATTTAATTATACAAGTTGTAATATTTTTATAGAATTAATTTTATTAAGCAATATTTTGACAGGCACATCAAATACACCATATCAAACCACTTATTCTAGCCGTACTGGAGCTCAATCAAAAGCATCAAATGTCAATAATTTACTAATTAGCGATCATATATTGCGTATCAAAAAACTCGAGAATGAACTGATTGAAGCAAATATGAAAACGCGAGTGAGTTTATTTAAAATAAAACCATAGTTAAAACAACAATTAGTATATTATGTATTAATAATTTAGGAACTGATCGTAGAAAACCGTTTATTGAAAACACTAGAGAAGCGGTACGAAAATGCATTATCTAGGTATGAAGGTAAACAAGCCAAATTACCACAAGCAATTAAATCATATGAAGAGGAAATACGCACATTAAATAGCCAGATATGTAACTTCAAAATTGCATTAAAAGAAATGGAAAATAGATATAAATCACAGAACATTGAATCAATAGCTTTACAAAAACGGTACAAACACCTTTTAATCCTATCTCAGAATAAACAGCTTAGTAAAAAAGAAAAACTATCAGATCAGTTAGAAGAAGCATTAAGTACAATAAAAAAACAAGATGATAAAATTTTGGTAAATTTATTTGTCCAATAACTAATGAATAGCTATAGGTAAATATAATTTTTTTAAATTTTAGAATATAATGAAAAAATTAGAACTTCAAAATAAATCTCATAGTTACCATATGAACTTAGAAAATATTAAAATCAAAGAATTACAACACGAAGTCAAACGTTTAGAAGATGAAAACAAAAATCTAAGATCATGTTTGGATAAACTTAAGACTAAAGACTATGGTTCAAGACAAAGCTTTAGAAAAGGAATAACTGAAGATTCAATAAGCATAGTATCTCGGTAAGTAAATCTTGTATTTTTAATAAACTTTAATATATTTACAAATTAAATAGTGTATTAAAGCCTATATCAACCATACATGATGGACAAGGTGATGCAATAGATGAATCTTTTTACAAAACTAATGGGTCAATATCCCTTAAACCAGAAACATTTAATGAAGATTCTGAAGAGAACAGTAGATATTCATCAAAAAGTTACAAAATGAATACAATTAGGCAGATAAAAAATAATACAATAAAATCTTCTAGTGCTGTGATAAATAAAAAATCATATTCATCAACAAAACCGAGCAGTATGTCTTGGGTAGACAATGATCTGGCTAAGTTGACAAAAGTAAATACTTAAAGAGATAGTAAATCACGGTACAGAAAATAACTTATAAATTATCATAGGCATATTTACATGGTCTTGCTAGAACTGTTAATTTAAATTAACTTTCAAACTTTTTTTTTTTTTTGGAGGGGAACTGAATCAGTGAATTTCTAAAATTATATACTAGGACAGATCTGAAAATAGTTCTAGACACGCCTATGTAAATTATATGTTATTCTATAATCATTAATCAAGTTACAGTAAAGTACAGTTAATAAATATTAATTGCATTTTAGGAAAGTGAATCACGATTATTAAAAACCGTAAAAGATGATTTTGAAAAAAAAACCCAACATAAAACTGCTGCTTTAATTCAATTACCAGGAACATCCATGTCTAGGGCACAAAAAGACATACTATTAGCAAAATTAAATCAAGTCAGTGAGGATCAAGATAATTATGAAAATTATTTTAAGTCAAAACTATTAAGACAGCCAATCAACAAAAGATACTCCTCATCATATGATTCTGACAACATAAGTGGTGAATCTTCAAATAGTGATAATTCACAGGAATAATCAAATATTAAATAAATGTTTTATGCAATGTATATATGTATTGCTGATAATAAATATATTTTTTTATTTTATAATTTTCATAATTATATTATTTAACTTTCTTCATGTTTAGATGGATTCACAGAGTCTGCCAATAATTTAGTCAATCTGTCTTCTAATTTTCTTATCTCTTCAGTACAAGACTGAAACTAACAATAGAAACATACATGTAAATATATAACTATATATTCCATATTTTTGAGGTGAAAAAACATAAAATAAATATGGTAGGTACCTCTCTTTCAGCGGAGTAAAGTTTTTCAGACATGCTATTGAATACAGTGTTTGCTGCTACTGTATAAGACATAAGTGCGTTTGACTTCCCTAGTTGTAAAGCACAATCCATAGCACTAATAGAATCCTTTAAATTAAGATAAATCGTATTGTATAAAATAGTAAAATTGCATGAACATTTCAAAATGTACTAACTAAATAAAATGATTTTGCATTTGCAATATCATATCGAGACTCCATAACATCATTTTCTAATTTTTCATCGAACAAATCATTGGGTTCCAATAAATCCATACACCTAATTAATTCATCTCTTACGAGCAAAAAAAAAAAATATATATATTAAACAGTGATACATATTTATGATACTACCAAGGATAAGCAACTAATGGCACTGTTTTAAAATAAAAAAATTGTACAAACAAATTAGTAAAGAAATTCACTTTAGAAAATTCAAGCCCCTGGAACTTAAGTTTTAAGAACTGCCACTTTTGTAAGTTTGAGACTTGAGCCTCTTACATCTTTTCTAGTATATACGTAATAGAGGTACCTACTTGTATTTTTGTGATGCATCATTGAGTGCGACTAATGCTATTGTAATCATCTGACAAGAACAGTTTACTGATATAGTACATGTTTGTTGTAACAAATGCTTATGGGTCAGTTGTTCGGCTATTTGATTCAATTCTATGACTATTGGTTGATCGACCTTATCAGGATCAGAAGTTTTTGTTTGACAATAGGCTACTCCTATAGCCAAACGACGCCAGCTAAGCAATCTGGAACACTTATTCTAATCGAAAAAAATTAAATTATGAAAAGAAACAAAATAATGTAATTGACAAAAAAATACCATAGTAAATGGTCCGTAAAATAAATCAAAACCCTTGTAACCGGTTACTATTGTCTTAAATTTTTCACAATGTCTTATGCTGCCGGACAAATTATAATATAACGTTCAACTCAACCTAGAAATTTAAGCAATAACCTATTTATTTGAGGATTTAACTTAAGATGATGTCACTCCTCCATATATTGTCTCCGTCTTATACATGTAAGACCTAGGTCGGATTAGTTAGACAAACTACTGAGAAAACCTCAGTTCCTATACAAGCCACCGATAAAAGGTCGTAACAATGCTATAAGTAATTTTGAGCCAGTGAATATGTAAAAGGGCCGCTTAGAAGTGAAAATCTCGACGGGCCGATACATACCAATCCAGCTTACGACATAACAAATTTTTGTTTAAAAGTTTCAATAGTATGCTGTTAGTTTTAATATTAGAGTGAATTGACTTCTTATAAAATTTAAAGGTAAGATTATTACCCATTGAGGGCTCCATGTAGGCTTTTATAGATATTATTATATTTAAGTAAGTTATGCTTATGACTTTTTTGAAACTGTTCATTTTAAAATGATCATAACGGATCATAACTTGTCGTAGGTACGCTTGTGTAAGACGAAGACAACACATGCGGATGCGACTTCCTCTTAACATTATAATGTCTTAAAAAGTTACGATACATAACATTACAGATATGAATCACAGATATTAATATTTTCGATTTCAATTTTTAATTTTTCACTAGTTAGATGTGAGTAAGTGACATGACGTCTTGTATGAACTATGAAAAATTAAAATATTTTTTTGAAAATTGGACGAACGCAATTTTAGTTATTTTACCACGGATTATATGAAAACATAAATATATTTTCACATAATCTATGATTTTACTGATAATTGATATCACAAAATAACCGGTGTCGAGTGATAAGCAAAATGTGATAAAAAGTAATTCACATAATATGCAGTTTAGTACAGAATAGAGTAATAGGTAAAGCAATGGTTCCCAAACTTTTGAACTTTACTGCCCATTTAAAAAAAATCCGACAGAAGCCCCTTTCTATCAAGAAAAATGTATTGGCACAAAGTATGCAATGAAAAAATTAATTTATTGTTTATATCTGAAAGACTATAGAGTAATAAATATTAATAATACATTAATACACAGATTCAGATACCAGAGTCCACAGTCCATCACGCTTCCACAGTTCCACAGTTTATTCTTAGTCCGTGACTATAGTGTCTATAGAGCACCTTTATATTAGTTTATTGTGCCTTAGGGTTAGGGCCAGTTGTATAGTCTGTGATTAAACTCCGATTACGCTTAATCAGCTGATAACAGATATTTAACTGGCCAGATTCGGCCGGTTAAACTGTGATTAACTTTAATCACAGACTGTACAACTTTACTGGCCCTTACTGCCTTACCGTGAAAGATACCTTTATAGTTTATAATAATTATATATTATATTGTTATTATATTAATATGTTATGTATCTCTGGACTTTGTTTGTGTGTTATTTTTGGATTTGGTAGGTACTAAAATTACATCACCTCAAGGTCCAAGGGCTTTCAAAGTTTTTTAGATATATAATAACATGATACACATGGTGATTGGTGGTAGTATGCAACCAGCCAGTTATGAAAAAAAAATAAGATTTAGGACCTAATTAATGGGCTAAAAAAATGGCCTACGGGACTCAGGTGTTAAAAGTGATTAACAATAAAAAATAGTGTAACAAATATTCTAATTGTCTGCAATCTACTTCCTTACTTTAATAGAGCATTAGAAGGTTTTATTTAATAACTGTAATGAATTTACTTTTATCAAATTTAAAAAATATATATGTATAACTAGTACAGACTTTTCTCATTATTACGTAATTTCCCTCACGAATAAGTAAGTACCCATAATAATAAAATAATTTTATAAACTAGGCTGTGAATTATATTATTTTACACATCGATCAATTTAATTTTGAATTGAAATAAATTAGAAGCATATATTAAGTTACGAAATTCTATTTCGAATATTTTTATATTTTTGAGTATTTTATAGGTGAGTAGTATTAAGTAACTAGATACTGATGAGAAACATTGTTTTAAATTTACAATCCTTGGCTATAAGAATTAAATATTTTATAAGTTTTCAACTACAGAATAATTTTCAACATTTTCTTGAATTTTATGAATTTTGTCAAAATTTGTATTTTAAATACTTATAAAATAAAATCGTAGATATGTACCTTAAATATTTTTGAACTGCTGTTATAACAACTTATAAGAAACACATTGTTTACAATTTTAAGTTTTTTAATCTAAATTTAAAAAAAAAAACTAAAAAAATTCAACATTTCAAATGTCTATTAACAGCTCAAAAGTGTCAAAATATTTTGTAAATGTTATTATGTTTAGAAAATGATAAAACTAACATTTGGTAAAAATGTCAAGGTAATTACTTACTAAACTAAAAACCAAATCGATCTTGTGAAAAATCGGTTTTGACTTTTGAGTAAAAACTCCTGGTTTTCGTTAACTATTTATTTGTCTTTCCTAATGTTTTTGAAAAGTATTAGTGATTTTTCATTTTGAACTCTCAAAAGAAGGAACTTAACAAATTTTCTATCAGAAACAATCCTCAAAGTTGATGATCAAAGCATTATTTCGAGTTCGACTACTTAGTAGGTAGTTATCATAAATTCATAAAATAAAAAAAACACATCAATGTAAAATCAATATATTCATTAATATAATTATTATTAATTTATTCATCTCTCTACTCAGAATCTAAAATGTATTTTGCGTGAATTCTTTCAAACATTAGTTTTTAAAAAAATGTATTAAGATTTTCTGGTTTTTTCTCCGTATATATTTTTGTCATTTTACTCCAATAACTGTTGTTATTTTTGCAGACCATCATAATCATATAACTGTATTTATTTTACTAAGTCTCTTTTTTTATAATGTTACACATTATTGTATAGTTTTTTAGTGTATTCAAACTTCTCTGCTGACTGATTATAAGTATGACTTTAATGGATTTATTTTTTTTAACCGTGGGATGATGTCGTAATAATATAGGTACTTATGACAAAAGACAATGTTAGGTATACCTTAAACCTACTCCTGAGCGCTGAGCGTTATACAGTCCGTATATAATATTATAGGTAATATAGTGATCGTATTTGCGTCTAAAAGATACTTTTACACTCGTTCCAGTGTTATAAATTATTACTGACATGTTATAAGTTATAACCAAAGACCGGATTTAATTGATAGTGCAACTTTTTATTGATATCAGGTAAATCAAATCTGATCAAATATATGTATACGAATCACTAATCTGACTAATTTTACATTGCAATTTACTGTAATTTTCAAATTTTTTTCAATTTTTGTATACTTCAAGTGATAAAAATATAAAAATAGTTCTTTCTTATTTAATTTTGTTACTAAAATATAACTGCGTCGAAAATGTTCACATTACGATTTTTCCCAATGGTGGAGAATCGTTTAATAGATGTGTCGTGATTTTTGATGTTATTAATATATCGGTAATAATAATTTATTTGCCAACGTATTCTAGGTTAAAGAAAATTTAAGTATGTCTTAGAAAAAAATGAAGGATATAAAAGATAAAACTGTTAAAACTTACTCTGAGGTTATTGCATTAAATAATATAATCATTTAATTTATTGCTGAATCATTCCCGGTGTGATTGTGATGGTAATAAATTCACATCAGAGCCTTTACTCCTAGCGAATATAGCGACTATATATCATACTAGACTGTAGTAGGTTAATACAGTTTTAAGACGGAGAATTGATCATTTTGTCTTAAAATGTTGTGATGTACTAATTCACAGAAAAATGAATGTCATCAATAACGATGCCTAAAAAAATCTGTGTTGACACTTGGCTGACTTAGGTGTATAATTGTTGTAATGTTAATAAATAAAAATAATTGATCAGTATAAACGTTTATTGAGTTAGTAATTTAATATATGTTTAAAGTAGGCAGTAGAAATATACGACGTATAACACTTGTACAAGTATATTTATGAGTATATTATATAATTAGTCAATAAGTAAAATACAAATATCAATTTTTTCGTTTACTCATTTATAATACATACAAAAAAATACAGGTAGAATATAATATACCAATATACAATGCCAGCATTCATTATTCATTAGTGTAGGTACAAAAAAAAATAATTTGGCACACTAGAGACGAAATAAGCCTTTTGGCAAATTAATATATTAGTATAGGTATATTATAAGTACCTATATTGCAATATACATCACAAGATTAACAATAATAATAATAGTCATTTGGCATATAAAAATTTAAAAGTGTCGCAAGATAAAAAAAAACAAACGTATACAGTGTACAGTATATATAGCTATATAAGAAATAAAAACTGAATAACCAACCCACCAAACCACATTTTATTCGATTACTTTTGCAAGCTGCAGGGTCGTTCGGAAAAATATTAAAACAGTATTCAAAATATAATGTACTGGTATTGAGGGGCCAAGGGTTACCTATAAAATCTTTGTCATCGTCCTCCACTGGGTGGCGGTGATACTACGCCATCGACGATCAAATCACCGGTCCCGTTCACTGATCCACCACCGGTCGACGCTGTGGCTACAACATTTTCCGGCCGATGCTGCAACAGGGGGACGAGCGCTCGGCGGAGCCGTTCTACGACCCGCGGGAGCGCCACGTTCACCAGATCAGTGCGGTCCATACGGCGGACGGCGTCGTCCGACGGGTCAGCCGACTGCTGCACCGCTGCAGTTGAGCGGTCGTCACCGCCGTTGAGTTCACGCCGTTCATACGCCACTATGCGTTCCCGGAGACGAGTGAGTAGCTGCAACTGTTGTTGTTGTTGTTGTTGTTGCTGTTGTTGTTCCGCACCGTCCGGCCGGTACCGCTGATGGCTTCCGCCGCCACCGTCGCCACCATCATCGTCCGAAATCTACCGCATGGACAGGAGCGGTGGCAACAGGTCGGCGATGTGGCCGCGGACCACTCCGGCAGCCCGCCGGTACGGTTCGGGCGAACCATTTGAATCCGAGTCCGAGAAGTCGGGAGACGGAATCCTAGGACCACCATCGCCTTTTCCTCGGTCACCCGGTCGCGTTCCGCGTTGCAGCCTCAGTAACATGTCGTACAGTCGACCGTTTTCACGCCGCCGGGCGTCCAGTTCGTGGCGCAACTGTTGCAGTTGCAGTTCACCGACGCCTCGATCACTGTTGCAGCTGTGGTCGACCGCCACGTTTCCGTTGCCGCACTGCACTTGTACGTCGGCCACTGACGGCGGTCTCGGACGATCAGATGCGGCCACGTCCACACCGCCACTGCAACGGCCGCAAGTCGAACACCGGCGAGGTGGCCTGCACCGGCGCCTTCTATGCAAACCACTACCGCCACTTACAGTCCGATGACGTCGAGTGGTACAGGGTGACGTAGCAGTCGCCGTTGTCATAACACTACCACCGTTCAATTGGTCCGCCTCATCCTCCGCGGCCGCAGACTCCGTTGATGAGGACGTCGTTGTACTAACGGTTGCGGAATCGCCGACGCTCTTGATTGGCTGCTGTGGTTGCCGATGATGCGGTCGACAGTGACGTTTTCGCTTACTTGTCGATGACGTCACCGCGGGAGTGCCGACCGCAGCTAACCGCACCGGCTGTTCGTCGCCCCTGAAGTCTTTCGAATCCGTGGTCTCCTCTTCTGACGACGAAGTGCAGTTGGTCTCTGCGGAGTCTTCTCGGCGGTCGTGGTCATCGTCGTCGTCATCTTCTTCGTCGCAGCTAAAAAAAAAGTTCACTTCCGAGTAGTCCGGCAACACTGGAGGCGGCGTTGTGATGGTGGCTACCTTCGGCGAAGATGCTGCAGTTTGCGACTCCGTGCAGGCAGCTGCTGACATTTTTGAGGTGCTGCAGCCTGGTATCTCCGCGGCCGATCGTATCACCAAGATTCCTTTAGTCGCCGGCGGCGAAGCATTCGACGGTGTGGCTTTCAAGCGGAGCTGCTGCAGATGATGTTGTTGTGACTGAGCTGCAACTGCAGCTACCACCGCCTGTTCTGTCGGTCTCCTGTCCTTCTGTGCGGCCGCGTCGGCCACCTGCGTCACGTATCGCTGCTGCTCGAGCTTGCCAATTTGTCGGTTCCGTGCCCACAGTTCCGTGTTGACTAGTTGTTGCAATGACCGCTCCAGCCGTCTGCACCGTCCCCGTAGACGAGACACCTCAGAACCGGCACCCTCGTCGTCCACTCTTGTGGTCTCGAGTGGTGGGGACGGTGGCGGCTGGGGTGGCGGCGGTGGCGAACGCAGAACTTTCTGTCTCGTCGCAGAACGCTCTTCGGATACAACCCGCGCTTTGCACGACGTCTCGGAGTCCGTAGCAGATGCGTCATGAAATTCATCGTCGTCTTCATTTGTCTTCTCTTTGCAGTTCTGTATGACAACAAAAAAATGTTTAATAATCACAATACGAAAAAATATACGATATGCAGAGTCTTAATAATATTCGTGTTTTACCCGGCCATCTACGGCGTATTCTTCTATATGGTTTCGCAGTCGCTGCCACCGTCGTTTGTCGTCGGTGGACACGGACACCGCTTTGGCAGACACTGTGGCCGCCAGTAGTGCCAGCAATCGCCGGTTAACGGTTAGCAAGTCGTGGATGGTGCGCACGGCCGCTTCGGCAGTCGCTTTCGCCGCCGCGTTATTGTGGTCAGTTTCAGCGTGGTCACTACTAGCGTCGGTGTCGTCGCTATCCGTATCCGTATTGTCGCTGCGCCTCTTCCTGTCTCTCTCAAGTGCGGCTGCCGACAGCCTGTCTACCCGTCGCTCTGCGTTGTAGACGCGCAACCGGAGCTGAAAGTTGTCGGTCCTCAGCTGTTCCAATTCGTCCATGAGCTGAGTCGTGTTGTTTATCGTGGTCACGGCGGTCACGTTGCTGTTGTTGTTGTTATTGTTGTACTCGTCAACAACATTGTCAGCATAATCGTACGGTCGACTATGGCGGCGGCCCCGATGCCGCATGACGCTCGGGTTCGCAGCTACCGTCAGCGGTGCCGCTGAAGCGGACGGAGGCGATCGCAACACTCCGCCGGTAATGACGGGTCGACGACATTCCATATCGCGACCAAGCTTATTATCGGCTAATAATATTAAAATTACGATTATAATACCATACCACAGTAAAAAGAATACTAAGATAGTAATTATTCAAGGTAATTATTTTTTACACCTACTGTGATTACACACTGTTATGGTATATTAATATACGTTAAGACAATATCGCACACGAATTCGAATTGAACGTAAAGTTTTTCAACTATGACATAGATAGACCTAAATGTATTGTACCTATAAAAAAAATATGTTTAAACGATATCAATTCGATGTCGTAATATAGCCGAGTGCGTGCAGTACGATTAAATCACGTATGGTAGTCGAACCGATAGCGTCGAGCGGAAACGGAGACGATGATATTAAAAAACTAAAAAACACTCGGTACAACGCTACACTACCTACGCACGAAACGAATAATAATATGATAATTATTATTAACAACAACAGTATTAGAGGCGGAATACGTCGGGCGGCGGCGGCGGCGGCGGCGGTAATAAACGGAGACGACGTCGTCGTCGGCGCGCCCGTCCGCCTTCGAGTCCGTTTATTATTAGTGCTTACGACGGCGAGCCGACCTGTGCCCGGGAACAGTCGACTTGACAGTCGGACGCGTTTATTTTCGTATTCGGCGGTGAGCGGTGGCAGTCGCCGTCGTGAGTTTCGCAGTGACCGACGACAGAAATAGGTATAGTTTAAATGACGTGTATGTGGTGTGTTACCGGCGACGAGCGAAGATTATTGCGATCCGCTTGTTAGACTTTGCTCCGATGTAGATACGACGGCGCCGGCGATTACGACGAAATCGACAAAACACGATTTTACAACGTTTTACAGTCGCCAATGATTCATCGGCGTGACAATAATTTAAAAAAAATGCACATCTCAACAAGCGCACTCGTCATCCGTAAAAATAATAATATAATACCTAATTGTGTAATAGTAATAATAATATCATGTTATAATATCGACTAGATTATTATTTTAGATTTTACGGCGGCGCGCAGACACCGCTATAATCGCACGATTTCGTTTGAGATTGTGATGCTGTCAAAACGTCAACTTTTTATAAAGTAACTCGGCGGCGGCAACACGCGCACGCACGCTAAAGACACGCGTGTACAACTGACGAATGACGATTAGACCGTAATGTATAGCAACGGTGATGATAATAATAATAGTAATAATAATAAAGCGGCGGCGGCAGCATCACCGGCTGCGGTAATACCAGCACGTGTGTGATCGTCCCGTACCGCCGAGACGCCGAGTACAGCGGTAGTGTAGCGCCGACGACCGACGGTGCAGCGCTGGCGCGTGTTGATAATAATAATCATTATTATTATTATTATTATTATTATTAGTTGAACTACATTGTGCGCGTGCGTAAGAAAATAAAGTACGAATCACTTACGACTTGGTACCACTCGTCCCCTGCCCACTATGTCCCTCTCGGCAAGTTCCGTACAGTGATCCGCAGCCACACCCGTACCTACTCGTTCCCGTGAAACGAACGGCGACGACCCATGTCATTATTGTGACGATGGCAATATTGACAACAACACTCAGTGAAAGCGGGATAATAATCCTAAAAACAAAGCCAAAACGTAAATTGCCCTAGTTTGTCGATAACATATCTAATAACAATAATATTATACTAAATACATAATCTGAAAGCAATTAAGGTTTATTTTGTAGTTTTGTACATAGATAATGTTATTAGTCATTACTCATTACTATTATCACCACAGTGCCTGAGAACTTAAAAGTGCTAAGTAATGCAATTTTGTCCTCAAAAATACATTACGGGAATAATGATACTGTATTACTGTCCCGTTGATTCAACTAAATTTGATTTCTTTTTATTAACAGTGGGAAATATTCTTCAGCCCGCATTTAACTCCGTTTTTCAATATTTTTATCTTAAACTTTATAGGGCTATAAAAAAAAAATGACAATCTTAAGTATTTTTACAAATTTATTTATATCATTATTTGAAATGAAGTAAAATATCGGTGTTCAATGCAGGCAGTTCTTCTTTCAGATAAAAAACAGTTATCTACAATATTCCGGCATATTTATTCTACAAAGCCTGAAAGTTTTTCATGTGAAGAAATTATTTGTGTTAATATATATTCATTATGCATGTATAGGTAATATACAAAACCTAGATGTGTTAAGAATGGTGAAATTCACCTCATTAACGAGTGTTCTTTTAACGTTTTTACTTTACTAGTTTAATACAGTAACACTAGTAACAGGTATTATCGTCATTGTCGACGCAATTGACGGATTCAATCTCAGACTCTTGTGAATCGATGGACGACTCGCCGCAGTACATACTTTTACTTAAACACAACTCAATTCGGTGTTCATACAACAGCAATAAAAGCAATATAGTTATTATTATTTTATTAGATTCTCAGCCAATCGATTAATGGATAGAATTTACTATAATCTGTGAGTGTTGTATAAAATATTTTTTCTGCTTTTTATCACGTTTTGGGGGCTGCAAAACCGATGTTACTACACCGGTAAACTTGTACTTTCAAGTAGCCAAAACCTTCAATATATTTTATTTCATTTATTTTATTTGGTACGTAACAAGAGAAATTGTTCTTTGTCGAAATAAATAAAATTGAACTCTTTGATACTCTACAATTTTACTATGACTTATAAATTATTAGATATTTAAACAAAGTATGAAGATGTTAGTTGTTTCATTGTTATTAAAAAACATTGCTGGGGGATTTAAGAATTTTATGTAGGTATATTATAAATTGTATACAGTAAGTATTAACATATTTTTCAAGATATTTATTTTAATATTACCTATTCACACTGTTATACAGTGAATTGAATCAGTAGACAGTAATATGATATACTAGAAATAGTGTATATTTGTATCACTGTTATAATTATTCACGCAATGTTTTCTATAGCGATAACATTAATCTACCATATAATACTAATGGTAAAATAAGTTACTTTAACAGCAATATCAAAGAACATAATATCGTGAAATAAACTTTGGCTGTCAGACCGCCACGCTCATAATCGTTTTTCGTAGGTATACAAATATACAATGCTATTCCGATAATTGAATTCCAATTTAACGCATCCATTACAGTGATCTACGTGATTCACTTGAAAACACATTGAATGGTTTCCATTATTTTTATTTATTATTTTAAAGTTTAAACTCTTGATGGCATGAACTTTGCCCTTTATTGAACATGATCAATATTGATAAACATTGATCATATTACAATTTTCATACATATTTATAAATTTCACATAGGTACCTACGGTGAACTGAAAAGTGAAAGGTTATCGTGACATTTATATTTCAAATATAGGAAAATCGTATGTTTATAAATCGAATTATAACAATTAAATATTACATTGTTATGTAGGTATACATATTAATAAATCTGCAGGCTGATAGTAATGAATCCATTTTTTTAAACTAAAAACGAAATAGAATTAAAGGGAACAAAATATCAACAAAACGTTAATGTTTATGTAGTTGACCGCCGCATGATTGATGTTACATTATTAAATGTATTGCCATGTTCGACGATAAAAATACTGACATTATCGACATTTACTTTTAGATTATTGTCTTGATATTATACATGCACGCGGCACTGCACAACGGCACGCCATATAGGCAGTAATGTAGTATATTATAGTATATACTAACAATACTGTAAGTATGTTTCTAATATTTTAATTTAGTTTAAATACTCATATTGCACTATTATATTATGGGTAGGTAGTTTTAAACATTGAAACATATTATTTTGTACACCCACTCATAAATCATATCCTGCGGTTTGTGTTTGGTTTTTTTTGATTAGTTGCGTAGGTAGCGAAGATAATGTAAAGTGTTAGTAAATAAACAATAGTATAATATTATGCAGGCAGGTAATATTAGTATTATACTGACGACAAACTTAAGAACAAAAAAAAACTCAAGTATGTATGAGTACACTGAAGTATGAAGTTTATTATTAGGTTTCTATGTAATAATATGTACAATAAAATAACGGCATACCATGGTATGCTACCTGATTCGGTACAAAACGCTGCCAGAGTGTACGTTAAAATGCTATTCGCTCCTACTACAGAACACGATTACAAGAACGACGGGCATTTTTCCTTCGTATACTCTCGTTATGGTAGGTACCTACAACAGGCTACATGTTTTTGTATTTCGTGTTGCGTTTTATTTCTTCATTCGTAAGACTGCTGAAACCACAGTCCACAGCTAGCGTTTAAGTATATGGTCAATAATTATAAAATATGTGATGAAGTCGTGTAACATTTAGAACCTTAACCCAAATAATATTTACGTATTTACTTAAATATCAACATGTTTATTAATTATAATATCATAAAATCTCAAATAAAAACCAATTAAATAGCATTAAAAAAACGTTTATTTGTGTGAATCTACATGTAGCATTATGGCAGTATAGCCATATTATTATTTACTGGTATAATTTTTTACTTAAACTAGTACTCACAAATGTTATTTTTGTTAAGAGATAAAATGGCTTAAAATTGATGTCCGACTGATGCTTTGATTCCGGTAGCGGATGGCAGGTGAGCTCGATCAAGTCTGGAGATAATTTTTGTTAGTTTCTTTCGGGGTTCGGAGTCTTCGGCCTACACGAAATAAATGTGACAGGGCTGCCTTACGGTGGTAAACACGGGGAAGAAAAACGTCGGACGGTAACTCGGAACGGACGCACACATTGGAGAACGTAACACCGAGCAATTATTATTTTATAAATAATAAATATATAATGTAATAAAATAACATTTTAATTTCAACATTTATCATAATACTAAAGTGTTGTTCTACAGGGCGTTTCATATAAAACTCGGTTTTTATTTTTTCTCTTTAATTTCGCAATTGATTTTGTCTCTTAAAATTGACTGACTTGCCTCGTGTTGCTGTTGAAATCGGTGCTTCACGGTGTCTGACTGTCTGAGTATCTTACTAAGTTTTCTAACAGTTACCGATACACACTCACCGTATTCTTAATGGGTTTTAATGGACAAAACACGTTGCTCGATTGTATAATACCACTCCACGACGAAAAATTAACAAAATACACAATATATTGATTAATCACTAAAAACCTCAACATCCGTAAGTATCAGAAATTATAATAACAATCAGTGGCGGATGGGCTTATATTTTTTTTTATCGGGAAGTAATTTGAATAAGGGCCCCCAAAAAATAAGAGCCAGCAACATATTATTTTGATACAACAATGCAATAAAAACTAGGTATATAATAAGTAATATAGGTACTCTTAGTATAGATTTGTTTATTTTTTATAGTTAATACATTAATAATTTTTTTAATGCAACCTTATAAATTACACTATCTGTACTAATAGAATTTAAAATATCTTTTTCTACACTCAGGAGTATAAAACATTCTAATTGATATTGAGTAATTGAGTTTCTAAAGTAATTTTTAATATATTTTAATTTGGAAAAACTCCGTTCACAACCCACTTGTGTGACTGAAATTATGATTAAAGTAGCTTATACAATAAATAAAGAACCAGATAAGTATTACTGTATTAGTGTATAAATTATAGTTAACTAAAACACTAAAACAACAAAAGACATAACACTTTACAGATTTCCTAATATTATCTGCTAGATGAATGAATGTTTCTTCTGAACATTTGGAACTAAAATAATAAAAAAAATTTGCTTAATAATTTTCATGAGCCCTTATTCTTTTGAAATAAATAAAATCGTATTCATAATATTGTGTAACGTAAAATAAGAAACAACATTTTACTGTGTAAACAAAATTTTTATTTTTTTGAACAATGTTCACAATAGTACCTGTGTTTAAATAACTGGTATAAAAATGTAT